TCTGTTTCCAAGGGGGACAAAAAGACGAGCCTAACCCTGGTAACCTTAACACAAAAGGAAGCTAAAAAGGCAGGGACTCGATAAGAACAAAGGATTGTCCTTTCTGATGACATCAATACGTATTAAACACGATATGTTACACATCTTTCTATCAATATCTGAGATGACGAATTTGCAAATTAATACTACACTGGTCATAACTGCATAAAATTACGACACCCTCTTTAAGAGGCGATTTTTGATTTATAGAATGGTAGTGGCATCTTTGTATTTAATGTTTCTGAAACTAAGAGAGGAGATGAGCCCCTGTGAGCAAGCAGAATACAATGTAGGAGAAATAATTACACTGCTGACCTCATGCCCTAGAAGGTCACTCTGCCTCGCAGGCCAACGGGAATCAGGAACCAGCAGCGTGTACCTCAGAGAAGTCACTGACTGGAATGAAGGGCAAGTGTGGGTATATTTCATAAACTAGCAGGTGCTTGACCTCATAAAAAAGTCAATTATCAAAATGCTACATGTAGCATGTCACAAACAAGAAATATAGAAAGTAGGGCTCTACAAAACATCTTCAGTTCAAACTAAATCTGAAATAACTCACAGCATCTATCTTCTTCTGAATTGTAATACAACAGATTCACAAACATCATGAATCCCTATATGGTGAGAATAATCAGTAGAATTTGTCAACAGTCATTTCAAACATGAAAGTGACTATCTATACATGGTAAAGAGTGATGACTCAGAAAAGATTTACAATATTTATATAAGTCAGTATATAAGAATGTATACAGTATTTATCACTTGAATCCTGCTCATTAGAATAGGAATCACAATGCGCTTGTCTTCAAATTTTGTCATCAGAAATTAGGCATCAAAAGCTTACATACTCACAACATTTGTAAAGAATAAAATAACGTGTTGTGAATGGTTCAGTAACAGTGCTCCATCACCTGACACCAAAATTCTCCTATCACTCAGTAAGAACTTGGTGCTTAAGAAAATCTGTCAGCTGGCTTTTCCGTTAAGACCACACTCTTTTTTCTTCCTCAGTGATCTCAGTCTACTGCCAGAATCCCTGGGCAATACAAATGAAAGCGAATTCGGAAGCAGCAGCAATAAAAACTACAGAACAACAGAAAGAAAAGGGGGTGGTGGCCAGCCCACACTCACTATGTCTGTTAGGCACTAGGCTGGATGCTTTACAAAAAGTTCCTCATTTAATGCTCTCAACAGTTAGAAAAGTAACTGGCTCTGGTCCATCATTTTCTTTAGGTTTTCTGATAAACTTGCAAAAGACTGCTTATGACATAACACACCTAAACAAAATACAGAAGAGCTCAGTCGGTAGGGCTAGGTGACTCAGTTGTCACCATAAGCCCAGCTCTATCACTTACTGTGAAAGTTACTATCCATTTTAAACCTCTGCCTCCTCATCTCTAAGAAGAAAGGCTAGTGTGTAGTGCATCAGCTCAGGGGCTCTTAGACCAAGCTTAGGAGCAGCTAACATCGCTTAGGAATCTTTTTAGTTGCCTAGAATGAGTGAAGTACAACAAATGGTGTATTTACCAGATGCACTGTTTAACATTTTGCCTACTTTAGTGAATGAGACAATTACTAGGCTAGCAATAGGTATAAGTTTCTATGACAATATTTTATGATGTAACTTCTACAATGATCAGCTCCTCAAACACTAATGACAATGGTGGGGGCAATTGCACTACAAGCACGTGGAATGGCAGGTGTGGGCTGTCCACCAGCTGGCTCCATAACCTTTTGATCCCTTCGGACAGCAAATCTGTTCAAGAGCCCTATGTGGTCATTTCTCATTTGTTGTATGCTTTCTTCTCCTTTCATACGTTCAGAATCCCTATTCCTTTAGCTTGACATCCTTTTATTAAAATAGAAAGCTCCTAGGAAAGCAAACTAAAACTAATTTTACACTCAGTCAATGTTAAGAGTTCCAGAGTAGATTAGAATGTTACACCAAGGGTTGTAAGTGTGTAAAGTTTTAGTTATATGCAAAATGCATGTTTATTCATTCTTTTGCTAAAATAAAATACGGTGACAAGATTAAAATTTTAAGTAAGCCAGCATTCAATTAATTTATAAGGTACTTCAGAGTACTATAATTAAATAGAAAAGACATCATTACGTAAGTGGAAAGATTTAAATTTAACCTAAGAATATCTAGTTTATTCTTATTTAAATTTTGAAAATCAGCAAAGAGCAATTTTCTAACTTCAGCAATAATTTTTCTGCTCCATTTTCTTGCTGTTGTTATTAGACATAATATGGCTGGAAGGGACACAGAGAGCTGTATTAGTTAAACCAAATATCGTTGCTCATTCTTCCAATTCCACCCTCATTAAAGAACTAAGCATGCTGGCAGCAAACAGGACAGAATAAATAGTGTTTAAGAAGGAGCTTCAGAATCTGACAGTCACTAAGTGACTGTGGGACCTTCAATTTCTCCCAGCCTCAGTGAAGTCACTTGAAAGAAAACAAAAGCAAACGTGGGGATGGTGACAAGAGTCCCTCCTTAAAAGGTTACTGTAATTGTTAAATGAAATAAGACCAAATACTCAGCAAAAGCCTGGCTGAGAGAAGGTGTCCAATTAACGGTAGGGAATTACCATTATTTCACTTATACCAAATCCTCTCTGGACGCAACTAACTAAACCCCTTGACTAACAACATATGCATTTCTAGCAGTGCTTTGGGGGCATCGTTTGTGGCTACATTAAGGCTTTCCCTAAGTAAGTCATTTTCTTCTTTCCAGGATAAAAATGGCCTCCACAGCAACTGCTAATCGTACCTATCCTCCCAACTCACAAGAATGCAACACTACTCACCTTTGATGTTTTTCTTAGACCTTTACATACAAGCAGCCATCGGCTTAGACTTTTTCTTTTATTCTGCCCTATCTACATTTAAGTCTGGGTCCTAAATTCACTTCTGTAATAGCCTCCTAGCTACTTACTCTACTTTATTCTGTTCCCCCACTTTACACTAGATCATTCTAAATAGAAATGTTTCCCAATATTTTCACAATAGCATTCTCTGCTGAAGAGAATGTCTAGTGATTTGTTATTATCTAGCTTCACTGTCAGCCTACTCTACAGTATTATACTCACATTTTGTTCTCAACTTTGGGGATCTTTTATTTAATTAGTTTTATTATGAACTGATCACCTAACTCCATTTTCTGGAATATGATGACATTAATGCCCACAAGTTATGAACAAAGAGCACTCTTTCAGACTATGTATTAACATGCTCAAAAGCAGAGCTTTTTTCAGCCCAATTTTATTGTTTAACATTGTTTAAATGGTAGAAATTTATTTTTTAAACCTACATATATTTAAAAAAAATTTTAAGCCTAAAACGTTATAAAGAACTTCCAGTAAGCAAATGAAAATTAATATTTACTCAGTAAAAGAATTATCACTCCAACAGATAAGGATTTTAACTGGCATTGTTAATGTGTGATGATTTAATTATAGGTAAAATATGTATATTTACATTTTTTATAGATTACAAAATATTTTTAAAGATTTATGTATTTATTTAAAAGACATAGTGACACACAAGAGAGGGAGAGATAGAAACAGAGAACTTCTGATCATTGCTTCACTCCCAAATGCCTACACAGCTGAGGCTGGCCAGGCTGAAGCCAGGTACCAGGAACTCCATCCAGGTCTCCCACATAGGTGGCAGAAATCCAAGTACTTTAATGGGCCATTGTCCTCTGCTTCCCAGGTACATTATCAGGAAGCTGAATTGAAAGCATGGAGTAGTCAGGATTTGAACCAGCCACTCAGATATGGGATGGTGCAGGTGTCCCCAGCAGTGGCCTAACCCACTGTGCCACATGGCCCATCCTAATTTATTTAATAAATATAAAGGGTTTACCTATTGATTAAGTACTGTTCTTCAAACTTAACAAAGATTAACATCCATAATCATATCAACTCCATAAAGTCCCACTATCATCTCTACATTATCTGTGATAAAACTGAGGCTAAGAAAGTTAAAGTGCCCAAGGTCACATGCTTATTAAACATTCACTTCAGCAACCATTAGCAAACATCTAGTAGAGTTAGGCCAGTTCTAACAGTCACGACAGTTTGTGAATTTTGTTTCCATTTTCCTTCTTGTGCAATCATGTACTACTTATCTTGACATGCGTAATGAGTATTTCATCACCAAGAACACCTGGTATTTGTAAATGGGCCTTTAAAATAAATCTACCTAAAAACCGAGACCAAATTTTCATACCAAAAAGTTTTTTGTAAGTTACACTGGGACTTCACCTTTAAAAAGTTTAAACTAATTCATTTTATAAACAACCTAATTTATTCTAAAATTTTAATTCTAAACTTGTTAGAACAAAGAGTGAATCAAATAGGACAAAAATGATAGCAAAACATAACTTTTCTTCAATGCATCTGACCTAATATGATTACATTTGTTTTACTTTGCAAAAAATATTGAAAAATTTCAACAATTTTCTCAATCCATTCAAACTGTAGTCTTTTGAGAGACCCATCATGAAAATCCTTGCTAATTTTCTCTTCTTTGAAAGTACTCTGGTCTAACTCTCCAGATTTTGGTTTTAAGGACTCTCCATTGCATTTCTGCTTGTATATCATCAAATCGCCATCTAAGAAGTTGGCACCCACAAGGACAATAATGTAATGGGCATAGACAGATGCTTATATAAATAGGACAGAATTTATTGGAAATTAATTTTATAAGGGATCAGTTCATTAGCATACATTTTGATACTAAATAACTTTTGCTATTTTTTTAGACCAAACTCCTGAACTACAGAATTTGGAGGAAAAATGAAAGAACGGAAGTTGAGAACTCCTTCTTTTCACTTTGAGGTAATAATGACTCTTTTTGCTGGAAGGCAGAGCATCCAAGTTTGTGAGTTTTTACACATTTTGTATATATGCACGCAAAGCACTCTGGAAAAGTACAAGAACTCTTACGTGATATGACATGGTCCATATACTGAGGTAAATAAGGAGCCCAGGCATCGATGGCTTCTTTCCGTCCTGCCTGTTCAATTCTTCTCAGTTCTGCTAGAAGAAGGGCTTGTGCAGCTTCTCTGACCTAGGACAATCACAGATCAAAATGGAGAAAAAGAAAGTACATCAATTGATGAGGTGAGTGATTGGGAATTATAAAGTTCATAATGAAATAAAGCTAGAAAATATAAATACCAGGTTTATTCACACAACAGAAACCTCTAACCATCTAATGAATTAAGTGCTTAAAATGAAATAAATTAGATGCTAGCATATCATCAAAGACATTTTAATTAATCATCTCTCTAAAAATATTTTAACCTTAATGGACAGAATTATATTTGAACATTTAGTAAGATTTGGGTTTAGTGTTTCATTCATCAAATCATTCTTGCACTATAATGTACCATTTTCAATTTTAAAATTTCTACATAAATATTATTTCTGGAGCAGATGTTTAGTCCATTGGATAGGATGCCCATGTCTCACACTGGAATGTCAAGGTTCGATTATCAGCTCTAGCCACCTGCTAATGCAGCCTCTGGGAGGCAGCAGTAATAGTTCAACTAATTGGGTTTCTGCCACCCATGTGAGAAACTTGGATTAACACATTTCTAGTTCCTGGCTCCCGGCTCAGCCACACTCTAGCCATTGTGCATACTGGGGAAGTGAACCAGCAGAAGATAACCTTCTCTCTCTTTCTGTCTCGAATTAAACAAAATTAATAAAAATTATTATTAAATGTCTCTGTTAGAACAATTACATTTTTTAGCCTGAAGAAGTATAACTGTATCTAAAGAGCTTCTTTATATTACTTATGCTAAATAGTATTATTTATGCAAATCAATATGTATAAATCTACATGATTCATGCATATTGAAGATATGCTTAAACTATTTTTGTTAAATAGATTTATTATTGTGTAAAGGTATAACCTCTTTAGTTTTACAAAAACAACTCATTTTTCAAAATTTTATCAATTTTTCTTTCAAGGTGGCATACAACTTTATTTTGCTGATCGAGTTGAGTTTAGTTTCATTTTGGCAAAAGTGCCACAGACATGAAGTCAAGGAAGCTAGTCAATTATTAAGTGATGTGCCAATCAATTCATTAATTATTTATCATTGAAGAGATAACTCCACAGCATCTAAGCAGGAATTTGAAAGTTATGTTTACATATGCCTGGCTTTTGAAGTAAACTCAAATATTATTCAATGGAAACTCATGAAAATTTTAGTATGCTGCAATTTCATTTGGAGTTGAGGGAAGGGAGACCAAAAAAGAGATAAATATGCTGTTTGGACCTGGAAAATTAAAAATCTGGAATGATACAAACTGCTACATGTGTACATGTCAAATGACATATAAGGAAAATCTCTATATAACATTCCCAAGTTCCTGGGGATATTATATTACAAATAACACCTAACACAGCGAAGTTCATTAACACAAAATCCTGGCAACCACTTATTGGGATCCTACCATGTGTCAGGCAGGCCCTGGACTTACTGTTTTACTTGCATTATCTTATTTGATCCTGACAGCAATCCCATGAGGGCTATATTATTATCCCCACTTTACAAATGAGAATGCAATAGGTTAAGTAAATTGCCCAGGGTCACAAAGTTAATAATTGGTGGGACTGATATTTAAACCCAGCTCTCTTCTAATTCCAAAGCCTTTTACCGTAACACAGTACCTTCCATTGAGATAGCTACTGGCTTAGAATTTGATTGATTCGATTATGCTGAACACGTAATTTTGGATGAGGTAGGTATGTGTATGTGTGCATGTGTGTACAGGATTGGTATAGAAATTAATGCTTAAGAAATAGTGTCATAGTGCATATGGAAAAAGTAATTGAAAAGAAAAACACAGAAATCATAAATACATATTAGCCACCACATTAACCATTTTTGTTTTTGTTTCAAATTTATATATGACCAATGCATTTTAATACTGTTGTTTTCTACCTTTATCACCCCTATACTACTTACCTCCAAGCATCGATCTTGCCATCTGCGAGCCAGCATCTCTAGAAGTGGAGGCCTAAATTTATCCAGTCCCAGCAGGTCGGGCAGCATAACACAATGCATAGCAGCTAACTGACTCCATCCTGTTAAAAGCGAATATGACACAAATATTTCAAACACTTTGGAATTCCGAAGTCAAAAAGTTTTTCTTTCCCTAAGTATGTCAAAAACAACAACAACAAAAGGCAGACTGACTGTTATATGTGGTTTCAACTTAATATTAGACATTTTGTAAAAAGAATTATATGATATGTGTTTCATCCTAAATTATGTATTTGGTACCTGTAAAAACTCTCGACATCTTAAATCAAAATGCCTTGTCACACAGAGTTATCTGAATTTAAAAGAAAAACAGAACCTCTAAGTTTAAACATACATTAAGAGATGGGAAAGCATGGAAATAAATATGTACTGGTGCTATAGATCCGAACACACTGTCAGTCAAAAGGACATTCACAGAGATATCCAAAGATAGCTTTATGTCACTTAAGGCATGGCCATCTGGGTGTTGCCATTGTGTTGGCCAAAAGAGATGTCATCCCTTCTCTGTCAGAGGGCCTTTAATTAAGGGAGTTATTGATCCCTTTTCTTACAAAATGAATCAGATATTTAATCACAATCATAATGGAAATAAATAACATAATGCCAACTTTTAGAAGAAAATGAATTTACACATTCCACACAGCAAAAACCTTATGATCTGAAATTTATAAAATCTTAAACATCATTCACTATAATCCATGTGAGTAAGTTACTTTCTCCAAAATTCTAACTCATGATATGGAATTTGATCATATGAAAAACACATACTGTACAGCACTGCAACATTTAAAAGTTTTAGTACACAGGCATCCTCAGATAATCATTCCAATTCTATTTTAAAGGTGTCTGAAAAAAAAAAATCCATTCCCAATAAATGCCTCATTCTTCCCAAATTATGTATGAGGCCACAATTCACATCAATTACCACTACCTCCTGGGGATAACATCTAAAAACAAATAATCAAGAATGATGTTTAAAAAAAAAGGTCCGCTAACATACTACAAGGTGAATTATCTGTGAACACAGAATTTTCAGTGACCAAAAATCAATGTTTTGAAAGAATCTAAAATAACAACAAAATCCTAACACAAAATTCAAAATGATGGCTGGGATTGTTAAAAAGGGAGTGAGTGTGGTTAGTTAGAAGAGACAGAGAAACAAACCACCTATTTAAAGACTCATCCTCTCCATGAAGAAATTCTCATCACCTGCCAATAAAGTTGTAATTATGATAATTAACATAGGCACACATCTTTGAAATTATAATTCATTTACAACAGAGATGTGTGTGTGTACATTACTACTTAGTAGTGTCATAGAAATATAAAGTATATTTACGAGCCAAATATTAACATAATGATTACTCTTACCAAAGAAGGCCCAATGTCTGACAGCTTATTTTTTAATTATCAAATTTCTATCTTTCACAATATCTTAACAAATATGCACCTAATTATTTTTCCTAAAAGTGGAGTTATACTTTAAGGTTCCTATGTTTTCCTTCCGGAGGAGTGGTTCCTGCAACATGGGCCCTTTATTCTACAGACATTGCAACACTCCTGTACAACAGTACGTTTTACTGAAGAGGCAAAATCATTTCACATTATACTTTAGATTTTGTAAATGTTCTCCTTTATGTATTATATAAAGATTGAGACCACAGAGAAGACAGAGGATATAACTCAGAGCTCGTAAGTTCTATTAAGCTTCCAGGCAGTATGAATAATCTTAGATGGGTTTTAGGGAATAAAGGTTTGTAGATCCCATTCATATTTTCAGAGCTCCAAAAATACTTTCTATTTGTGTAATTCCACAGGGATAAAATGATAGCTCAACTAAATCTCAAAAATTGAAATGATGGATTTTTGCCATATCCGGAAACAGAAATAGGAAGGAGGATAAATAAGTGAATTCCTGCCAGTCTAAAATCACTGGTGCCAATCATCAATCTGAACACATTTCAAATGAGAATATAAATTGAGAGACTGGCCCATACCCAGAGCAACCAGTTGTGTAAAGATGGCAAAGTGTGTCTGTCACAGAGCAATGATACATACAAAATAAATTCATTAGTACAAATCCCAGAAACCACATGACAAACATCATTACAAAAAAATCAATCCACCTTCTAATATCGACCTCACATAAAGATCAGTATCTTTGTACTTCTTTAACAGCATTTGATTATAGGAAACATTGTCACTGGTTTTAGCAAATAAAGATATAAAATGGGAACTATAGGATCTCATACATAACAAAGGAGATGAATGTATAAATCAGATAAAAAGAACATGTCAATTAGAATAAAGCACAGATCGGAAGGCAGTTGTTAGAAAGTTGAGAGAGAATACCTTCATTTACTAAGAAACAGGTATGTAAAGCAGGAGTAGAAGCAGGGTCAGAGCCAGCATGATCAGCATCAGACCGAGCGGAAACGACAGGTGCAGCGACTTGCAGAGGAAAACAGAAGAAATAAAGAGGAGAGAATTGAGGTACAGCAGTTTCTGAAAAAAAGCTCAGTATTAGTGAAGAATGAAACACAAAGTTGGCAAAATATAGTGAACGTAAAACAGAAAAATGATGTTTTAATAGGAAGGGCACAATCATTAAAGACTTCAGCAGAGAAATGATGTATTCTATAAAATAATCGCAATGTAGTTCAAATTCCAGTTAACATCAAAATCTATTTAGCATTATGGATGAATGATGTGTAGACTAGTAAGACATAACTCTAAAATTAAATTAAAAACCTGTAACACATTATGAATTAGCAAAACCACACTTCTAATTTTATAAATGTACCACATAATAAAAAAGTTTATGTTGGTCTTCATATCGCCAATTGCACTTTTCTAACAATTTATTCATTAACATTAAATTTAAATTATTTTTAAATAACTAAAGCAAATATTTTCTGAGATTATTTTTCAGTTTTTGAGATTCACTGTATGTATGCAAACAATTTAAAATACACCAACTTTTCTAACAGAACTTTATTCAATGGAGTTTAAAAAATGTTTTATGGTATAAATGCCATATATACTAAAATCAGTTATTGCAAATTGTATAATTCTTATAAAATAGACAGGCCAGCACCCTCACCCTCGTCCCCCCAAAAAAAGTTACGTTGCCAGGAAAATGTTTCAGATAAATTATCATATGAAAAAGCAAAAGGACCGTATGGCACACACATTCTACAACTGGAGGTCAATGTTAAGATTTAGAGGTCACCATTTGACACTTCCTTCCTATGGAGAAATTACCATATGTCATGCACAAGCATCTTCAAATTAATCCCTCTCCTTTCTTCTGTCATTGAACAGCAATAGGTTTGGGCTCCTGAACAGATTAACCATTGTCTGCTGAATGATATGTTTGCTTTTCATGCAGAGAAGTTCTTTTGTGACCACAGGACAGCTGCATGAAAACAACTTTTTCATAATTTCCACACGAATGCATCATAATGTCAATCAGGCACGTGTGAGGTAAACAGGAGAACTAAAAGAAGACTATGAACAGTAACCCCTCAAAAAAAAAAATCTAACTCCATAAACCCAAAGAAACACATTTTACATATAGAAGGCTGTATCTGGGAAATAATTCTTTTGTTATGAAAGATGTGTTTTTTACTCCTTATGAAATTATAATTGTTTTATAATGTTATACTTATGAAAGAAATAGAATTTGCTTTTAGATCTAAGATCTCCATTACTCCATTATATTTTGCAGAGAAAATTCAAATATTTCTATATACCACTGAATAAAGGGTTTTTTACTTCCTATCATCTTTCATTACAAAATCAATTATGGCCTACAAAATATTCACTTCCCATGCAAAAGCACAGTGCACCTCGGTGGCAAGGAGTAAATTTTCAAGTTTTGGATTTCACAGCACCAAAATGTTCAGAAAGTACCTTTGCTGGCTTCTAACAATTGGCACTTTTCTGTCATTTTACTTTTTTAAAAAAGCAAGAAATTATCTTGCCCTGGAAAGACTACAATAATTCTGTGTGACTTTACCTTTAATTCTGATGGGACACTAGAATGAGAAGATAAGGAAATTTAATATAAACAAATAAAAGTTCAGCACTGAGTATATGTACACAAGTCTAACAAGAAACTCAAGATGCTACTGGCAGAACTGCTAGAATAAGCATATGTCTTAATAAAATAATGTTTACCTTATAGAATTATTTTTTAGAGCAAGAGTGCAACACAATTTATTTCTTAAACAATCCACTAAGTTATTCAGTGTATAGTTTTTCATACATGTCATTGGAGATATGTGTCAGTGAATCTTGATTTTATGTGCATATAATCAACAAATTAAGGAATTTACCAAAACCCAAATAAAAATGTCCTCTAAAACACAACAGCCTTATTAGCCTACTATGGCACTGTGAGAATGATTACAAATGACTGGCTTACTGAAAAAGGAACAACTTACTACTTTATTCCTTTTAGTATTTTTTGTTCTACTTAATACTATTGGTTGAACTCTTTAATTAACACACAGTTATTCTTAGGTGTTTAAATTTAACTGAAAAGTGATCCCTGTTAAATATAAGAGTGTGAGTAAGAGAAGGAGGAGATGTACAGTTGGCCCATGCTCAACTGGACTTGCCTCTAACGGTAGAGTTAGAAACGTGCCAGGGGATTCCAATTCAAACCCATCAAGATGTCTACATCTCTTAACCAGTACACAATATGATACAGTACACACTCCCATTCTACTAGATAAGGATTTCAGTTCACTCCATTTTAAATACCCCCAACTGGGGCCTCTTATGAGCACCATAACTATTTTTAATGAGACAAAAATACCGATCCCAGCTATTATATTTTTGGAGACTTGTTTTTAAGTGACACATCATATAGACAAAGGCATTTACCTTTGTTATTTAATTCTGTGAGCACTATAAATCAAGAAGAATACTGTATCAGCAATCAAGGAATCAGATTTACTAGGCTTTAAAAATCTGCATGGCCACCAAAATACAAAAACAAAAACTTTCCTTACACTTTCAACTGAAATGGCATAACCTAGAACTACTTTCACAATTATCTGAGAAATTAAACTCTGCTGCAGTTTTCACAAACATCGATATATAGAATACTCAGCAACTGAAATTAGAAGAAAAAAAGACACAAGCACTGCCAAAATTAAAAGTTTAAGATTAATGATACATAATGAAATCAAAATGTGGTGCTGAATATCCAAGATATACAACATAAAACATAACCAAGCACTTGACTTCTTAAAACAGAAAAGCTGCTATGTCACCTACCAATTTGTGTCTCTTTTTTGAAGAGTAGTAAAATATAAGGGAAAACAATTTTAGAATAGCTTTAAAATAGTTACAGAACGACCACAAATTCTTTTACATACAAGTGTCCCTTAAGTAACTAATTTTGTAACTAAGAGCATCATCAACTACTTACTCTCAAATGAAAAGAGAAATGAAAATAAATTCATGGAACAACATATATATGCATACATCTGCCATGATTCCCTAGCCAGCATATACATTTGCATTCAGTTTTACAATATCAATATCCATGGTTTCTGATCTGAACAGGTGTATTTCAGCCTTCATTGGATGTCTAATTCTAAACCATTTTCTCTACTCCCAGTGTGCTACTAAAAACAGATACAAGATAGAGGTAACATACCTTGGGTGGCAAATACTCTTCGCAAATTGGTTCAAATCTTATTAGCCACCCACTCAGAACATAAACAACAATGGCCACGCCAATAAATATTTCATATGAAAAAACAAAATCTAAAAAAGTACAGGAAAAATAAACGCAATGTTTAAAGAAGATTTTCCAAAGAATAAAATCAAGGATGAATCACTTTCACTAAACTGAAACACAACTAATGAAACTATTTTTAGAAACTTATATAAGAAACTATACAGAGGAAATATATAATATGACCCTGAAAGAAAAGATAAACCTAGAAATTGACCAAAAAAACACTTATATCAGCAACCATGAGAATTTCAAATGACTACTTACTCAAAAGCTGCAGTTTCTGTGAAACTTCATAAATTGTTACTTCTAGACACACTTCATACCATAAAAAAATCCCTGTCCTAAGAGTGCTTTGCAATGTGGTTGCTAAATATAACCATAGTTGTTATGGTCAGCAGTTATGAGGAATAAATGAAAAACATAGAGGAAAGTTCATGGTATGTACTAAGAAAATCATTTATTTATATTATAATTTTATTCATAAATTCATTATGACACTGTTAAAAGTATATAAAATCTTATTAAGTATGGATTAATTAATAATCTAGACTGTTTCACTTAGATATTGAACCATTAAATGAACACCACATTCAGAAGCAATATAGTGACATTCAGACAAAAATTCTCAAAAAGAAAGGATATCCTTAAAACACAGTGAGGGGACAACACAAATAAACAAGGGCAACAGGACCAAAGTGCCAGGAAATAGAAGGATAAAGACCAACCACAATAAAATGAATTAACAGTCAAAGAAGGCATTCCGACAAGATGATACAATGAGTTATCCACAATCAAGAACATGGAGGAGTGGCATTGTGGCAAAGCAGGTAAAGACACCACCTGCAACGCTGGCATCCCATATGTGTGCCAATGTGCATCCTGGCTGCTCCACTTCTGATCCAGCTCCCTGCTAATGGCCTGGGAAGAGCAGAACATGATGGCCCAAGATTTCGGGCCCCTGCCACCCATGTGTAAGATCTAGAAGTTCTTGGCTCCTGGGTTTTGCCTGGTCCTGTTGTGGCCATTTGTGATCTCACTATCTCTCCCTCCCTAAGATTCTGACTTAAAAAAAAAAAAAGAAGAAAAAAAGAAAAGAAAAAGAAAAAAAGAACCACAAGGAGAGAGTTCATTTTAGTAAAAGATGAACTTATAACATAAACACTAACTTGAATTAGGTATATAAAGGGTATTAAAAGTTCTTACTTCACTTAATGAACATTAAATAAGTGCTTATTACTATGCCCCAGAAACTGGGTTAAGCATATTAAAATACATGAAGATTACATAAAGTTCTTGTCTTGAATGCATTTAGAGTCTGGTAGAAAATCAAATCAATGGGGTCGGCACTGTGGCATAGAAGGTTAAGCCTCCACCTGCACTTCTCTCTGTGTAACTTTGCCTTTCAAATAATAAATAAATCTTTCCCTTTTCTGATGTATTTATTTATTTGAAAGATAGAGTTACAGAGAGGTAAAGGCTGAGAGAGAGAGAGAGAGAGTCTTTCATCTACTGGTTCACTCCCCAGATGGCTGCAACGGCCGGAGCTGAGCAGATCCAGAGCCAGGAGCCAGGAGTTTTCTTTCACATGGGTGCAGGGGCCCAAGCACTTGGGCCATCTTCTATTTCTTTCCCAGGCCATAGCAGAAAGTTGGATCAGAAGAGAAGCAGCCGGGACTCGAACCAGAGCCCATAATGGATGCCGGCACTGCAGATGGTGGCTTTACCAGCTATGCCACAGCACTGTCCCCAAATAAACAAGAAGGAAGGAAGGAAGCAAGGGAGGGAGGAAGGAATAAGGAAGAAAAAAAGGAAAGAAGGAAGGAAAGAAGGAAGGGAGGGAAGATGGGAGGGAGGGAAGATGGAAGGGAGGGAGGGAAGTAGGGGGGAACAATACCCAGTACCCAATCAAGTGAAACCTAAGTCTCTGCCATCTAATCAAAGATGAGCAGCTCTGCAAAGAGGCAGGAAAGCACAGTCCATATGAGGGAAGTAATTAAAGCAACCTAGAACTACAGCAGCATCGGAATCAGCAGTGAGCCCTGAGCCGAGAAGCGACCATGGGGCTTAAGAAGGAGCATGGGAATGGCACAGAACATGCAGGAGCTTATTCCCCATAACAAGCACCAAGAGACAGTGCTGAATACAGAAAACCACCCACACCATTAAAGGATATTAAAAGTGCTTACCAAACCAGCAGCTAAGGGGGAAATCAAAGCTATGAAGCTAGAGAACTATAGAACTACAGGATATCTAACAAACTTCATAGCACTACTTTGACTCTTTCAAACTAAAAACCAAACCAAGCCAGAACCTTCATCTGCCCATCTCCTGCTTGCTTCTTACTTCTATCACATTCTGAGAGAGTCGGCATTAACTCTTGACCTAAAGGAAAGCTCCCCAGACAGAAGTGACTCCCAGCTCTCTCAGTTAGCTCATTTGTCAGTATGAAAAGAATACAAAAGATATACACAGGAATAATTAACATTATTTATAATTAATTATACTCAGGAATATATAGCAATAATTAATGAAGAGTGAGAACTTCAATCTTTTTTCTCTTCTAACACTAAATAAAAACAAAGTTATAAATCAATGTTAAGGTATCTAAAGATTTAAATAAAAAGAGAAGATAAAAATGATAGTTTAAGAAGGATTAGCACTTGTGAATGACATGGATTTCCCAGACTCTAGGATTACAAGAAATAAATATTTGTTGTTAAAACTACCAAAAAAAAAAAAAAAAAGCTACTGGCAAATGGCAGATTAGCTACAATAAGAATTTAAACATTCCTTTAAAACAGATGTAACTTTTAAACCCAAGATGCACACAATTAAAACACCAGTGTTGTCAAGTTAAGGTGCCCCTAATGCATAAAAATTAGGCCAAGGACAGTAAAATAAAATTATGTGAAATATGCTCATTTATCAATTTCTAAATAAATCTGATTTATTTTTAACTGACATCTTAATTATCCATATTTACATCTGGTATATAACAACTTTTCTCTCTTTTAACAATCTGAGACAAACAAAATGTTATGATTATGTATTAACTAAGCCTCCTCAGTTTCTAGAGCTGAAATGTCATGTCAATTACTTAATAAGATTTAATTTTACCTTGTTTAATCTGTCCTTGCACAATATTACTGGAAGTTGGAGGGGAACCCCTTGCCTTAGAAAGGTCTGGGGTGCTTGGTCTAGGTGGCCTTAAAAAAGAAAAAAAAAAATACATGTATATATATATTTTCACATTTTCCTATTTCCAGAACTATTTGAAATAGTAAGTTTTCTAGCTCCAAATGAATCATGAAAGAAATACATACAGAACATTTTCAAGTTATTCTTCCAAACTGAATATTTTCTTTCGTTTTGTACCTATAATTTTTTTATGCTTCAAACATTAATATACAAAAACAAATGACAAGCACAGAGCATATAAAAATTTTACATATATAATTTATGCTTTTTATTCATTTAAGAAATATTTAGAAACACCTCAATGTACTACCATTAACAGATAAATATTACACTCAGTCCTTCAGTCTTCAATATTAGCATGCTGAGATTTCTACCTACCCTGTACCATTGTTCCAAATTCATGGAGGAACACATGAGTTTAAAAGTATTTAGTCCTAAAATCTAAAAAAGGTACCAAGACATTAAGAAATCTTGTACCCTGAGGTAGACTGAATTTCAGTTCTACCACTTACTAGCTATGTGATCTTGGGCAAGTTACTTTATCCCTCTGTGTCTCAGTTTTCTTATCTATAATAAGTGGACAAAAATGTACCTACCTTCTGGAGTTAAGAACACTAATGTGCTAGTTTTTGCAAAATACGTATCATAGAACATGACAAATAAGTGCCACATAAACATTTGTTAGACTTTAAAAAAAAAAGCTCTTTATATTGCCAACTCTCAATAGAATATAATAAGTTATATTCACAAATTTGGTAATATGTGAAATAGTAATTCAGTCTATATATTCTAGAAATATTAAAAATAGTGTTCTCTTACATTTTAAAAGATTTTTTTTCTCTTTCCCTACTAAAACATTGACTATGCATCTCACAAAATCCTGAAGTCAATCACTAAAGATGTATCATTCATTATATAAAGTTTACAATGAGATGAGGCATTTCAACCAGAAAAACACATTTTGAAGGTTGGAGCAAACTTCATTAATTACCATTCAAAAAAAAAGTAATTATCATTTTGACATTACACTGGTCTGTATGTCTAACTCATTCCAAATTCTTTTAAAATAGCTGCTAAGTAGTCTTCATATACATAAAACTGTTTTAAATCAGCCATTCTGGCGGCCCAATGCTGTTTTATAATTTAAAGGAGAAACTCTAAAATAGGACTAAAATGCTCAAAGTGTAAATAGCAGACAATAAATAAACAAGGACACAAAGAAAACAGGCTTCCTTTCTTAAAACTTAAGGATAAAATCAAACTATCATGGTCACACCTGGCAGGGCCCTTCTTCATATGATCCCCAATAAAGGTTGCATTGGTCATACTCATTAAAGTATTTGCCAAAGATATGATCGACAGGAGGTGCTGTGTGGTGACGGCTCGGGACACTCCGTAAGTCCCCTTTCCTACGCCCTCTGTTGCTGGAAGCTTCCTTCCTGCTTCTGCTTTCCCATGTGGTGGTTTAAAAGCAGACTGATTATAACCAGGAAGCATCAGTGACATATGGCCTCCTCTTGATAAGAGGCCAAATGATACTGTGCAGTGGGGTTTCAGCATTCCAAGGCGATCGAGGCAAACTTCATCCAGAACTTCATTCAAACCCCAGGCATGGAGGCAGGACATGAACAGTTTTGCCGTGTCCATTGTTAAATTATACTCTAAGAGAGTCAATGGCTTCGATTTGCTGGCCCGGTACTCGGGATCACTTTCTTCTCTTCTCTGCCTCATTATCTCCTCATCCTCCTCTTCATCATCAAGGAGGTGTTCCTTTATGTTCTCTTTGATAGTTTCTTTCACTTGTTGGAAGAGAACTGCTGCTCGTTTTCCAGTTAGAAAAGAGCCCCCTTTGTCTGAACTGCCAGATGCTTTTTGCAAATTCTCCGGGGAAATAAGCGCAGTATTCGGCCTAGAGGCTTCTTCAGTCAGGAGTTGAATAATCAACGCTTCCACATCAAAGAAAAGCACGTGTATGTCCGGATCTGTTAGGTTTGTCTTTATTGCTTGAACCATCAGGGAGTTATGAGAATATTTAGGTAAATTCCCCTGCAATAAATATTTTTAAAAGATGGTTATAACTAAAGGTGTTTCATTCCATGTATTCATTAATGAACAATAAATACAAGAATCATAATGCTTATGAAGCTGTCTTTGAGGGATCTGTATCATTAAAAGTAGTGCACTAACTTTGCCAATCAGCAGCATGGGAAGGACAGGAGCTAATACAATCATAAGAACTCTATCCTGAAACAATCATAAAATTATCAGCTTATTACAAATCAAGGAAACAAAACTGTAGTATTGAGGCAAAGAGTTGTTTCACTCACAGAACAGATTAGAATTTGTTTCAATAATTTATAAGCAAATTCTGTCTCTGAAGATGAACTACTGTTCCACCCAGACTAATAATCGGTTTGTCACAGTTACAGGTCCTTCTAAGTGGCTGCACCACCCAATCCTCCCTCCTCTGCCTTACTTGCACTCTCCCTGTCCCAGGCTCCATTCCTTCAGTAGAGATCATATTCAGTCTACTCGGATCCTAAAAAGTGTTATCTTGTGACCATGCCCCTTTCTTCTATTACTCCCACCACCATTTACCTATTAGCCAGATTTACTGAAAGCAGTAGATCAATTCAATGGAAACTGCAGCCCCTCTCTGCAGTATCTGACATCGCTGCTTTTGTTGAGAGAGTACATAAATAAAAAGAAAGAATAAAAAGCCACCTCTCCAGCATCTTGGGGAACATCCTCCTCGTAAGCCTTCTAATTCTGGCCACGCCTCCCTCTTAGTCGGTGGCCCTAACTCATCCTCTCTCTCTGTGAGGACTCCATCCTTACCATCAGCTGCCAGTCGAGCTTCCTGAAGGCTTTAATCCTGTGTCTCCACCTGCTGCTTGTCTGCATGTCCCCTGACACCATGTGTTGGCATATCTGCATCTCCTTCCTCCCACTAAGCTTACTATATCTCTTGATTCATCAAACGAGAATCATTCCTCTTCCTTTCTATCCCAGTGTCACCAAGGAAACAGGGATCCTCATCTTTGCTGCTCAAGGCAAGTTTTACAGCCCCCATATTCCAATGTGATTCCATATTGGAATATGTGCCATATGCCAATGATATTCCATAGAGGTAGAGATGTCTAAAGCATAAATCAAATCACCGCACTCTGCTGCCAAAAAAAAAAAAAACCTCTGCTATTATTATGGATTATTAAAAGAAATAGAAAATATAAGATTCCTAAAAACTAAACCAAAATATGGGTAAACATCTGATTCTGAAGTGCAAATGGACTTTCTAAGAATACTTAAAGTTAAAATTCACTACTTAAAAAAAAGTCAAACAGCAAGTAAGAAGGAACAAAGTGAGCCAGAAATAATACTGATTAAGAACTGTAATCTATATAAATATTTCTTAAAATTAGTAAGAAAAATACTAGTAATAATAAAAGGAAAATGAAGAAAAACCTAGAAAAGGTCAAGGGCAATTCAAAGTACATGGAACAAATGGTCAACCAATACAGGGAGAAGCTGCTCAAAGTAGGTGTCAGGTAATAGCAGTTAAAATGACCATAAGATTCCACTTTAAAATTAGCAAACAATGAACACTAAAACACAGGACTGAAAGAGAAACCCACATACTGCAGGTATGAATTTAAAAACAGCCATTCAGAAGACTAATTTGGCAAAATACACTGTGAGGTCTTCAGACTGATATGGTTTGACACAGGATATTTATTTCCAGGATACTATGCTAAACAGTCAGAATCACAGACAACATGATCAGCAAAAGGGCAATGAGACACCCTAAACATCTAACAACAAAGAAATAGGTGAATAATTCAAGCATGACCATGGAATAAATACTGAAATCACCATGAAGCACGCTTTTTGGGCACATATAACCCCCAGCTAAAAGGGTTATTTCAAATTTTGAGATAAAATGACACATGTGTGCACACATACACACACAGTATGGTTCCAGATTCATTTGTTTAATGCTTAATATACATATGAGCACAGCAAGGGAGACTGGAAAGAACTCCATGAAAATGTTAACTGTATTTGCTTATTTTGTGATGGAATACAGAACGTTCTGTTTGTATTTCTTTATATTTCCTAAATTGTATATAACTGATATCTTTTATTCTCAAATGAGAAAATAAAGCTATGGAATAAAATGTAAACTCCTTCGTATAACATTTGACATTACAGTTTGATATCAAACACTGTTCTATCTTTAGCAAACAGGCTCTACTTCTGTAACCACAATCCCTCACATAAAAAAAAAAACTTTTATTTATTCCTTCACCCAAATTATTCTTCTTTTACTCTAGCTACTCCAATACTTTGTCTCCCTTTAAGACTTTAATTCTACCACTCACAATGCACAATGTATGTCTATCAAATCACCACATGGTACACCTTGATTACATATACTACTTGTCATATACTATACATACATATGTATGCATACATAGTATACATACATACTTATACCTCAGTAAGTGGGGATAAAAAAGACTTGAACTGTCCCAAGAAGTCTAAAATGTATCTGGCGCTCATAACACATTATATCTACTGTGTGTCATATATTTTATGTATTTGCAATATTTATATAATTAGTTATTTCAAGTGTTTATACTTTATGCTATAGGACTATTTCAAAATCAGGGTCTAATTACATGTTACTCATCTTGCGTAACCTTAAGTCTACCAGAATACCTAGAAAAATGAACAAAGAGCATTATAAAATTTTTTAAGGGACTGGCTTTCCTGCAGCAAGTTAAGCCACCATCTGTGATGCTGGCAACTCATAAGAGTGCCAATTAGAATCTGGCTGTTCCATTTCTGATCCAGCTCCCTGCTAACACTCCTGGGAAAGCAGCAGAAGATGGCTTGAACACATGGGCTCCTGTCACCATGTGGGAGACCTGGATGGAGTTCTGAGCTCCTGACTTCAGCCTGGCTCAGCCACAGCTATTGTGGCTACTGGGGAGTGAACCTTCAATTGGAAGGTAGATCTCTCTCTCTCTCCCTTTTTCTCTTTCTCTCTCCCTCTCTAACTCTGCCTTTCAAATTAAATTAAATTAAAAGTTTTAAATAATTTATTTATCTTTATTTATTTGAGGGGCAGATAGACAGAGATAGAGATCTTCCATCCACTAGTGTACTTTCCAAATGCCTGCAACTCCTGGAACTTGGCCAGATTGAAGCCAGAAGCATAGAATCCAGTCCAGGTCTCCTACATAGATGGCAAGGACCCACATACTCGAACCACCACATGCTGATTCCCAGGGTACATGACAGCAGGAAGCTGGAATCATGAGCAGAGCCAGGACTCAAACTCAGGCACTCCACCATATGACGTGGGCGTCCCAAGTGGTATCAAGCATTGCACCAAATGCACACCCCCGTTATAAAACTTTTATAAAATTATTTTAAGATCGCTAATCAATTCTTCTGTTAAAAAATTACAACTCCCCTTAACTGATCTCTCTTGTAGCTCAATTCTTCCTCCACCTGATTATGTTTCTTCTAAGCTTCCGCAGTATTTCATAATCCAGCAATGAAATCCAAACTTGTTTGCAAAGCACAAAACATCCTTCAGAATATATTGTTGCCCAACTCTCCAATTTCATTTCTAACCACAAGCCCTAGAACTTCTGCTGCCAAATCAAACCACTGCACTTTCCAGCACCTTACAGTTTCAGGCATTTGTGTCTCTACACACACTTAAGCCAGGGTCATGATTCTTCAATTTCCCCAGTGTCAGTCAAGTCATACATACTTCTACCCATTCAGGAAGAATCCTAAGTGGCTTCTCTTCCAAATATTACGTAAAGAATTCTGTAAGCACAGATTTTATCACTATCTCCTTTCTATAAATTTCTGTCCTGAATTCAAAGAATGACATTTAAAGAAAGGCAGAAAATGAATATTTCTATATTATAGTTAAGCAACCTAAGGTGCATAAGAAACGTGATAGTATACTACACAGTTATGAGATTTAAAAAAATCAGGACTTTCTGAATCTCATTCTTGTATTTAATTCCTTCATTGTGCATTAATCTAGCCTAGTATGTCCCATGTTTGTTCAAAGGTGAGTAAGAAATGGTTTCTCTAACAATGGAGCTCAAAACTAACAAAAAATGATGTGTAAACCAAGTACTATGTACTATAAACCGTGTACTATAACTGTGCTATAAATAAAGGGAGTGACCAGAGAGGTCCTTGTGAAGTGGTCACCTGAGCTACAAAAAGGCACTCCAGGGAGAAAGACAGCAGGATGTGAAAAAGCATGAGGACAGGAAACATCTCAGGATGGACACTGAAACCACAGGTGACCAAGATGAAGAAAGTAACTGGTCATTGAGAGTGCTGAGGGCCACCCTAAGGCTCTTGGACTTTATCTTGCAGGTTGGGGAGTCACCAAAGCAGTACATTTCTCAGAAACACCAGGGGTCCAAGTAAATAAAGGTTCCTCAGCCTGGGATCAAACTCAAACTGTTATCTCAGGGAATACGCCAGAATCTGCCTAATGAGTGCCTCTGATGACTTTATGCAGTAAAGCTTAAGAAACTAATATGTAAAGGCTTTAAGGGAATAATAAGATCAAATTTCACTGCATCAGTGTTTACCCACCAGCAAGGTTGGCAGAAAAGAAGACTAGAGTTATGAATGTAACTGGGAAGACAATAGAAGCCCTCCAGATGCGGGAAGATAAAAGCAGGCAACAACACTGAGAACCTAGAAGATAGAATGGACAGACAGATGTGTGGATCATCCTTTTACTTTATTTGAAAGGCACAGTTATGGGGGGAGGGGGGTGTGGTAGGCAGAGAGAGAGAGAGAGAAATCTTCCATTTGCTAGTCCACTCTCCAAATGGCCACAAGAGCCAGGGCTGGGCCAGAACAAAGCCAGGAGTCATGAGCTTCTTTGCAGTATCCCACATGGCTGGCAGGACTCCAAGGACTTGAACCATCTTCTACTGCTTTCCCAGGTGCATTAGCAGGGAGCTGGATCGGAAGTGGAGCAGCCAGGACTC